AGAAACCCTACTGTGGTCTGATAAAAGAAACTGTTATTTGTCACTAATACAGATCAATAACCCAGAGTGCTGTCAGGAGCTGAGACACCCATTGCCACTTTGCAACGAATGTAAGGGTGCCGTTGCTGACTGTCTACTCTCCTCTCCAACAGTCACAGCTTTAAAGTACCATTGATATGATTTCTCCACTAACACTGTTTTATAATATATACATACAACACCTAGGGAATGAGAAATAATTCTGGTTAATCAAAGGAAGGTGTTTGTATCTCCAATTCCTTTGACCAAGAACCCTTCAGCATCACAGCACCCCCATCAAAGAATCACAGTACTATAACTGTAAGCTCTTTCCCCGCTCCATGCTTACCCCTGAGGCTCTTCCCTTGACACCTTCCCCTCTCCCTCCATCATCTAGTTCATCTCTGCCATGAAGCACTGAATAACCATCAGTGGTTTAGCACCTACCTTAAAAATAATAAAGTATACTCTCAAGAGCTGCATTAGAACCATAAATGATTAAAAAATAATTGCCTGCAGGAGATTGAAAGGTTCTGTACATGGAGCATACAAAGGAATCAGTAAGTACAGTGCCTTGAGCCTCAGAATAGGCAGGGGCCAAGTGAAAAATAAGTTTCACATCTACTAAAGATGCAGTACATCTATCATTGAATGAATAGCAATGTGGACAAAAGTACTGAGAATAGAATGCAGCTCTGCTGTGAAACTACTAACCAACTGCTGCAGTCAGCCTTGGATCATGCAAAAAGTAAAAACAGCTACATACCCTACTCCTTCAGAGGGCTTGGAGCCATCTTTGTGCTCATTAGTAGCATCAAAGTGTAATCAGAATCAAGGAAGAGAGAGCAAGAGCCCAAAGAAGAGAAATGAGACTTCTTGAATGGGAGATGGGTGAGGCACATTTGAACCATAGGAATTTCAAAGATGGAACAGAAGTAAGAAACAGAATACACAGCGATAGGACAAGGAACCTAAATCTGAAGAGATGCAAATGAACTATTAATACTCTAAACTGTTAGCTATATTAATGTTTGTAATAACTACAGGCCATAGGCTTACGAAGGCCACCAAAATGATCAAGAAAATGAAAACAATAGACACCTTGGTTATTGTACATGGAAGGGAAGTTTGACTCAAAATTGAATGGCCTCAAAGATATAGATGCAATCCATGATGATGAATTATATCTAAACCTGCATAGGTCATACAACAGTAGATGCAGGAGCAGAGGAATATACCTAGTACCAATTGTCTAGTTTAAATAAGACTAAGACTGAATGAAAAGGGGGAAAAGTCCATCTGCCTCCCACAAACATTCAGGTTTAAGAAAGGCAACATGAGGCTTCCATAACACATGGCACTCAAAGAACCCAAACAATTAAACAGTTTAGCAGTCCACAGTAAGACAGCCATACAAGAATGGTGAGAAGCAGTCCCAAAATAAAGGGAGGAGCAGTGAGCCACCCAAAAAAAGCAGGTCACTGGGCACAAAAATATGATTATGTAAGGGATGATACTACATATACACACAAGTAATTTTACAATTAAGTTATAGTTGCAGGAACCCTCAAAAGCTGCTTTTCCTGGGGACCCAACAACTGGCCATCTGTCACTAGCAAGGAAGGAAGGATTGATAAATTATAGAGGGAAAGTAACTGAACTCATTTTTGGAGAAAGAACTTATAACCATGTGAAGCCCAATCAGAAGTAGTATACAGTTTATAGCATGTTGCAGCCAGGTTGATGCCAGATGAATGTTTTTGCCAGTACAAGCAAATGACAAAAATCATCCTCATACAAGACCAAGTCCAAGAAGGAAAACTGGAGGAGAGTCCATTGATGGCAATTAAGAACAACAAAGTACTGAGTACAAACACATATAACACACCATCTTTGACTAAGTTGGGGGAAAGTTATTATTGATTTGAAAACAAAAGCAACTGTTCCACTATTTATAATTGTACACAACAAAGAACAAGAGAATCTATGATCATGTGCATGTGCATGTGTGTGTGTGTGTTTACTGTCATAACTTTATTCTAAACACTATATGCTTAACTTTACCACTTGCTTTATAAACTACTTGGTGAAACCAAATCACGTTTTTCATTCTACAGAGCTATCCATTATGAAGATATATTTCTGCAACAATCGTGCTACTGTTGCACTAAATCAAGCTTTTACTGTACTGCCATTGTTTCTTCCTTCAACTGGATACCTGATTAATTTATATATTACACTGAACTTCCTGCAGTTTATGAACACATTTTGTTCATACAACCTGGAATGCCAACACTCACTTTAAAAATCTTTTATACAAATGGACGGACAATATCACAAGGATTTTGTAAGTGTTGGATCTGATCCAATAAGTACAGTGACAGAAGACTAATGATACAGCACCTAACACCTACTCTGGAAAATAATACATTTGCTCACATGTAGCTATAAAATATTATTGCTTACTCTGGGAAGCTACACTTGTCCTAGTTGCCCTGCACTCTCTTTACTGATGGAATCATAAGTTTTGAACATTGAAAAAGTTACGTATAATAACGCTGTTATGTAAATATTCTATTAGCATAATTTATTATCTTCTATATTTACACTTAGGTACATATCTGCATAATGATACATACATAATGTATGCATATAAAGTGCTATTTAGTCACAACGAAGAGCTGCCACTACAGTAATCCTCCTCGTGAACAAACTTCAGACTACAATGCCATATATTTGTTCTACAAAAGCTTGACAACTAATCTCCAACCATTATATTGTACAATTTATCAGATAATACATTCTCAATCAATAAACTAGTCAAACTATGAAGGCACAGTTGTCCCCCACTTAGCAATCATGATGTATTCCTAAGAAATAAATTACAAGGAAATTTTACACAAATCTTAAACCAATTTTTCCTCAGACACCCATGTTATAATTGGGGATGCAGGCCAGGGGAAAAGTGTCTTCACAATAATTTTCTTACCAAATTCGACTTTTGATATATAATGTATGTATTGGACACCAAATGTCTTTAAAAATGGAATGAACAGATTATTTTTTGTATTCATAGTTAAGTGCAAAACCCCTAGTTAGTATTATAACTTAAATTGTCAATAAAACTGTATTATCTCTTCATATTAACATTCTTGTTTTAATATACAGAGTTTTGTTGATTAAAATACTACTTACATTTAATAATCTCATTTTCAGATAACTTAAATAAATTAAATCAACTTAGCAAATCTAAAATCAATTATGAAAAGTCAAGAAGTTTGAGGGTCTAGATTTAGTCTTCCCAAAATGTTCAAAGTAACCAGGGAAGTGAAAGTGCTTTTCCAAATACATCAAAATTCATCAAATAAAACAATTTGTGTGTTTGTAAGGGTCATACAGTACTTTGTTAATTGCAGGTAATCTGGTTTGATCCAATTCACTGGATTGAAAGCTCTTCAGCATCAAGGCATACACAGGAAGGGAGGAATGTATTGTGTACATTACACAGTATACATAATACAATAAAAGTAACAAGATGTAAGTTAGATTTTCTCTTATTTTGACTAATTTTTTTTTTTTTTTTTTTTGTATTTGGCCGTTTGGTTCAAATGCGTAATGGGTTTTTTTTAGGGGGTAAAGGTCAAGAAATGTGAAATAAAATTTTGGCAATGTGTTAACTACATAACACAGTAATTATGATTAAAATTTTAAAATAATTTTTCACTGTATATGAGTGGTGCTTATGTGATAAACTTATTTTTAATAATAAAAACAACCAAGAAATTAATTTTATCTATAGATTCGTAATGAGGATTATTTTTTATTATATAATATTTATACAATATCAAATGCACTGATTTATTATTTATGATATTTTGGTGTATGTGCAAGTTGACCAAAATCAGTCAAGAAATGAGAAATTTTGTTTGTGTTTTAGTTAATAATGACAGCTGCTCTAAGGAAGTTATTAAGCAAAGAACAGTTGGACTCTAAACAAACTTGTTCCCTAATGTATCTTTAGTCAGAGAACAAAATTATACAGCACTGCTAAGTGGGGGATTTCTATACATCTCTTTACTAATAGATTTTTTGGCCAGTTTCATTTGGGTCAACTCATCTAACATTAAACAAAGATGCTGACAGGCATTTTCTGCCTCAGGCATAGTCAATATACATTTACCAAACACATGGTCACACAATGTACTTTGTTAACAACACCATCAAACTTAACCACCAGTCTTACATAGCTCATCCTTATAGAAACATTCAAGAAATCATGCTCCACAAAATTCAGGAGGTAATTTCTTTGATATGAAAGATTAGAATGTCTATGACCCTTGTATAATACTGGGTCCAAATCCTTACAAAGATCAACAAAACTACATCAAATTCCGCTGCAAGCTCCAATCTTTTCCATGATCCATAAACCCAGCTCCAAGCACCAATCTTCTCCATGATTTATAAACTCAGCTACAAGCACCAATCTTTTCCCATGATCCATAAAACCAGCTGCAAGCTCCAATCTTTTCCCATTATCCATAAACCCAACTGTGAGCACCAATCTCTTCCTATAATCCATAAAACCAGCTGTATGCACCAATCTTTTCCCATATCCATAAATCCTGCAGTCCAACTGTTCGGACAATAATCCAGCTGTGAGCACCAATCTTTTCACCATTCAAAATCAATAAATACCGTTGCGACTTGACTGTTTCAACAAAAGTATAATTTTCTCATCATTCCCTAGTCCAAGCATTTTGCAATAGATTGATCAATGAAATCACTGAAAATACATGTTACTTTATGGATTTCAAAATATATGTTATAATAATTTTTGCATCTACATCATTCTCCCTCAAATGCCAAATGTAAGTTTTAAATTAGGATTTTGATCAAATGACTAATCTACTTCAAATATAATGGAAATAATTTAACGCATAAATACTATGAATGAAATAAATTCGGTAACGAAGGGTACTGTATAAAACTACTAAGGTTTCATACTAAAGTCTCCATAAAGTCATCAACATTAGTTATTTGGTATTTGTATGAAATACATCCTAACAGCCACAGGCACTAATCTCCTACTGAAACACAATTCAGTCATGTCAATTCACATATGAAACTGCCAAAAATCAACTTTAAATCTGTAACCAACAAATATTACCCCACATATTCTACATATTTAAATTACATTTTCCACAGATGTATTTACCTTCTAACCAACATGATTTTAATGCTTTGGGCATTCAGAAAATACTGAATGATATCAAAAGAGCACAAAGAACAATGTTGCAACTTGTGAGCCACCTGCACTGCTATCCATTAAGTGATGACTGGATAGCACTTCTCTGCTGAGACTGTCTACGCCGCAAGCTCTCCCGTAGTGAAGATGGGATGCCAGACAGAAACTCCCTATAGAAAAGATGATTTAGTACATAAAATTATATCCAATAAGTTTCTAAAGCTAGTATACAAGAGTGAGTGAGTGTGTAAGTGTTAGAAAGTATAAGAGGGACAGAATATAAGAGAGCAAGAGTATAAAGTGAGTGTAAGAGAGAGTGTGACTTTACTCACCTGTTTCACCCATTTGTGGTTGCAGGAGCCAAGTCTCAGCTCCTGGCCCTGCCTCTCAACTTGCCACTTGCCAAATTCCCTCCCTCCTAGAATTAGGGGCTCTATTGTGCCCACCCTTAAAACTATGCATGGAACCTGCTGCCATTACACTGAGATCATTCCACTGCCGAACTGCCCTGAGACTGAAGAAATACTTTCTGATATCCCTGTGGTTCATCTGCGCTTTTTAACATCCATCTGTGACCCCAAGTACGTATTTCCTACAATCAGAGGAAAAAATGTGTTTGGTGAAGAAGAAATGAACAGACTTGTAGATTACTGGGAATGTGACAAAAAAAGATAAGGAATATACATTACATAAGATGCCTTATGACCATACACTAAACCATTGTACTCGCCTGTATGTAGTTGCAGGGGTCGACTCACAGCTCCTGGGCCTGCCCAGTTGCTGGCCACTACTAGGTCCACTCTCTCCTGGCTTCAAGAGCCTTGTCATACCTCTTCTTAAAGATATGTATGGATCCTGCCTTTACCACTTTACTCTCCAGATTGTTCCACTTCCTAACTCTAAAGCTGAAGGAATACTTCCCAACATCCCTATGACTCATCTGAGCTTTCAACTTCCAGTTGAAACATTCTCTGAAACATTCTGTCTCTGTTCACCTTGTCAATTCCTCTCAGTATTCTGAAGGTCGTTATCATATCCCCCTTAGTCCTCCAGTGTCATCAGATTGAATTCCAATAACTTCTCCTCAAAGGAGCTCTGGGACTAGTATTGTTACAAACCCACGCACCTTCTCCAATTTCTTCATGTGTTTGATCAGGTATGGGTTCCATACTGTAATTGTAAAATCTAGAAAATTAATAATCAAAATAACTGGATCCTGGAGACATGGTGTACCCCCCTCCCCATGAGGTGAGAGGTCCTGAGTGGGGTTCCTATTTTTTCAGGAAGCTCTCATTACCAGAAAGTGCCCATGATTTAAATGTTTGCCCACTCTGGTTTAAAGATCCTTTACCTCAGTAAACCCCAACACTGGGCAGCCAATAAGGTAACTCCTTCAGTAGGTAGAGCTGACAACCAACAGTGAAACCCTAGCAGCATTTAGTCTGACCCTTCAGTAGTAGTCAGTGACAAAAAACATACCCCATCCAGTGTTTTTACCCAAGGGCATCTGCTAAGTCACAAAAATAATAATAGCATCCCCATCATAACATAGTTACTGCCTTTGAGATTTATGAAAGTAACATCAAAGTTGGGGAAAATTAACCTCTTTTAAATAAGTTAATACAAGAAGACTGAGATGACAGCATGACAAGAAACAAGACATCAGCACCTTACCTTCCTGTACCCAGTGTTTGCCTATAACACCTACTCTACACTGAACCTATATATATAAATGTTATACAGTTACTTACTCAGTTCCATTTTGATTGACAAACCCTGGCTAAAGTTAAAGATTATTGTTTTTGTAATGATGGACAGAACTAACCTTAGATAACACTTTTATATTTAAATGACAGTTTCATCATAAATTATTAGTGAACACTAATCAGCCATGTTTTAATACTCAACTGACTTACCTAAAGCTCTGTACTTTGCCACTGTCTTGGGTGGGTGACATTGGTGAACGGTCAGATCTGCGACTGGCCGAATTTCTCTCAGTCAAGTGAGTTTCAGATAGTGCTTGTGTAGAAAGCTGGATTTGTTGGGTTAATTGATGAAGCTGTAAGTCCAAGGCAGTAATATCTCCAATACTGCGACTGGCTCCCTTAGTTTCAAATCTGGACTCTACTTCTGCACTAACCTAAAATTTTAAACACAGTATCAGTAATCATTGTATCATGTCTACAAGATTATAATAATTTCAAGTTAAATACACATACAGAGTATCTAAAATATAAGTAGTTTACAAATAATCTAATGAATGAATAGTGGAAGAGAACAAAGGAGAAAATTTACTGCCCGAGTTCAGACATTATCTTACAAAAACACCCTGTGTACATCTTCTAAAGTAAACACATTAATAAAATGACTGAAATACAGCAGAAAACAAATTGGAAGAGGTAGATGGAGTGCCAGAAGAATGGTGTCAATGTATAAGAAAGAAATAAAACAGGAGAGACAGTTAGGGGAAATATAAGTAACTACTGAGAGAAAGATGAGCTAAAGTACATATAATGTGGAAGAGATTGATATGTTGTGTATCTTTATATGTGTATGCTTCTAAACTGTTGTATTCTGAGCACCTCTGCAAAAACAGTGATAATGTGTGAGTGTGGTGAAAGTGTTGAATGATGATGAAAGTATTTTCTTTTTGGGGATTTTCTTTCTTTTTTGGGTCACCCTGAAAAAAAAAAATGTGATAGATTTAAGAATAGAGTGCCAGAGTATGTAGCAGAAGTTTGTGATTATAGGAGGATGTAAAGAAATTAATGGTGGAATAAAGAAGTAGAGGATGGTAATAAAGAAAAATGCTCTGCATATACAATTTTGTTACATAAAATAATCAATACATTTAATAACTATTTTTTGCCAACTCCATTATACTTAACATTCAAATAATGCAACACCAACTATACAGCTACAGTATATAATGTCAAATACATAATCTGAACTACTAGTTTTAGTCTATCTGAAAAGCTCTGCAAAACAAGGGGTTACTCATAACATATGCAATAAATGTAACCTAATTTTGTACTTCAGCAAATAATATTTTTTTTATACTTTATGTAGCCAAAGTCTAGATTAAAAAAATAACTAGAACAAGTGTACTCACATGGAGAAAATAAAGCAGAAGATAAAAGCAGAGTACCTCTCTCAGCTTCAGTTTTGAAGTATCTATTTGGGTTCATCTCTGCCATATCTAAATACACCTACCATCCGACTTACGACCGAGTTTAGTTCCGAGAAACCGGTCGTAAGTCGAAATGGTCGTAAGTCGAATTTTACTACTGAATATCAACAAAACATTTTTGTAATGACTATTTTATTGTTTTATTTGGTATTTCATGTTTTACTTTACTTTTTATGCTGTTAGTACTGTATTTTATACTGTAAGGTTTAGGATAAACACTGTACAACACAAATAGTTGTTTATTTCCCAGAAATTTGGCATATAAAACACAGTCGTAAGTCGAGTGGTCGTAAGTTGAGCAGGGCGTAAGTCGGATGGTAGGTGTACTTTGCCTTACAAAAACAAAGGTCGTTCATTTTCAAAACATTAACCAATTCCCACTGAGGTAAGGTGACTCCTCCCCCCTCCCCCCCCCAAAAAGAGAAAATTCATTCACCATAGCTCATTCAATCACCGTCTTGTCAAAAGTGTGTTGACATCACATTGTCACCCCTCCTTCAGAGTTCAGGAAGAGTGCCTCCCACCATCGTGTCTAGCTAATTAGTTAATGTTGCTCTGAAACATTCCTATATTTATTTTTTTCATTACCTGCATGAGGTCCTGCAGTGAGAGTTCTTTACGCATGTTCTTGCTAGCGGGTGGGAGGCGAGCAACGTCAAGTTTCATTATGTTCTCCAGAGTGAGTCGTAAAAGACCAAGGCTTTTCCTACACAAAAGAAATGCTATTAGAACATATTTACAAAATGAGAATCTCACCATATTGTAAAAGTACCAAATTGTGTAAGAGTACTGAGGAAAATAAGTCCCAAACAATCAACGTATATCGCCTTGTTCCAGTCACGGTATTGTGCCCTTTTTTTGTTAGTAACTTATGAACAATTTTGAGGACCACAAGTGTGGGACCTATTTTATTTAAATGCAGTAGTATAAAAAATCTAGTAAGTTTTTATTTTATACAGTTTGTGTGTTTTTGTTTCCCTTTACTTTATCTGATTTTCTTTTTGTAATTCAAAGAACAGATAATATGAACTGATAAAGAATATGTTGCTGAACAAGTGGATACATGTTTAATTAAAAACAAATTGTACATACATGCATTCTTATTCCATAAAAATAAAAATAAAAATAGGTAGGGAAGTTTTTATTGCATTTATGGATTTAGAAAAGGCATATGGTATAAAGGTAGAAAGTTGAAAGTGAACATAGAAAAGAGTAAGGTGATGAGGGTATCAAATGATTTAGATAAAGAAAAATTGGATATCAAATTGGGGAGGAGGAGTATGGAAGAAGTGAATGTTTTCAGATACTTGGGAGTTGACGTGTCGGCGGATGGATTTATGAAGGATGAGGTTAATCATAGAATTGATGAGGGACAAAAGGTGAGTGGTGCGTTGAGGTATATGTGGAGTCAAAAAACGTTATCTATGGAGGCAAAGAAGGGAATGTATGAAAGTATAGTAGTACCAACACTCTTATATGGATGAGAAGCTTGGGTGGTAAATGCAGCAGCGAGGAGACGGTTGGAGGCAGTGGAGATGTCCTGTCTAAGGGCAATGTGTGGTGTAAATATTATGCAGAAAATTCGGAGTGTGGAAATTAGGAGAAGGTGTGGAGTTAATAAAAGCATTAGTCAGAGGGCAGAAGAGGGGTTGTTGAGGTGGTTTGGTCATGTAGAGAGAATGGATCAAAGTAGAATGACATGGAAAGCATATAAATCTATAGGGGAAGGAAGGAGGGGTAGGGGTCGTCCTCGAAAGGGTTGGAAAGAGGGGTAAAGGAGGTTTTGTGGGCGAGGGGCTTGGACTTCCAGCAAGCGTGCATGAGCGTGTTAGATAGGAGTGAATGGAGACAAATGATACTTGGGACCTGACGATCTGTTGGAGTGTGAGCAGGGTAATATTTAGTGAAGGGATTCAGGGAAACCGGTTATTTTTATATAGTCGGACTTGAGTCCTGGAAATGGGAAGTACAATGCCTGCACTTTAAACGAGGGGTTTGGGATATTGGCAGTTTGGAGGGATATGTTGTGTATCTTTATACGTATATGCTTCTAAACTGTTGTGTTCTGAGCACTTCTGCAAAAACAGTGATTATGTGCGAGTGAGGTGAAAGTGTTGAATGATGATGAAAGTATTTTCTTTTTGGGGATTTTCTTTCTTTTTGGGTCACCCTGCCTCAGTGGGAAATGGCTGACTTGTTGAAAAAAAAAAAAAAATTTAAATCCATATAAATTGTATCCCACCAAGGCCAATAAGCCTAACCTCCATAGTGGGAAAATTTTTGAATCAATAATTGCTGAGGCAGTTCGTAGCCACTTTGGAAAGCATAAATTAATCAACGAATCTCAGCATGGTTTTACAAAGGGGCATTCCTGCCTTACGAATTTATTAATTTTTTTTCGCTAAGGTATACGAGGAGGTAGAATATGGACTTTATTAAGGGCTCTGACAGAGTCCCACATCAGAGACTACCGAGGAAAATTAAGGAACATGGAATAGGAGGAGAAATTTTTTCCTGGACAGAGGCATGGTTGACAGATAGGCAGCAGAGTTTGCATAAATGGGGAGAAATCAGAGTGGGGAAGTGCCATGAGCAGTGTTCCACAGGGGTCAGTGTTGAACCCCCTGTTGTTCACAATCTACATAAACGACATTGATGAGGGCATAAAGAGCGCCATAAGCAAGTTTGCCGATGACACTAAAATAGGCCATCGAATTCATTCTGACGAGGACATTAGAGCACTCCAGGAAGATTTGAATAGACTGATGCAATGTTCAGAGAAGTGGCAGATGCAGTTTAATATAGATAAATGCAAAGTTCTAAATGTTGGACAGGAAATTAACCATGCCACATATAAACTAAATAATGTAGATCTTAATATTACGGACTGCGAAAAAGATTTAGGAGTTCTGGTTAGCAGTAATCTGAAACCAAGACAACAGTGCATAAGTGTTCGCAATAAAGCTAACAGAATCCTTGGCTTCATATCAAGAAGCATAAATAATAGGAATCCTCAGGTTGTTCTTCAACTCTATATATCCTTGGTTAGGCCTCATTTAGATTATACTGCACAGTTTTGGTCACCGTATTACAGAATGGATATAAATGCTCTGGAAAACATACAAAGGAGGATGACAAAGTTGATCCCATGTATCAGAAATCTTCCCTATGAAGATAGACTGAGGGCCCTGAATCTGCACTCTCTAGAAAGGCATAGAATTAGGGCATTATGATTGAGGTGTATAAATGGAAGACAGGAGTAAATAAAGGGGATGTAAATAACGTGCTGAAAATATCTAGCCTAGACAGGGCTCGCAGCAATGGTTTTAAGTTGGAAAAATTCACTGGTTTGTTAATAAAGTTATGGATGAGTGGAACAAACTCCCGAGTACAGTTATAGAGGCTAAAACATTGTGTAGTTTTAAAAATAGGTTAGATAAATACATGGGTGGGTGTGAGTTGGATCTGATTAGCTTGTGCTACTAGGTCAGTTGCTGTGTTCCTTTCTTAAGTGAATGTGACCTGACCTGACTAGGTTGGGGCATTGGCTTAAGCCGGTAGAAGACTTGGACCTGCCTCGCATGGGCCAGTAGGCCTGCTGCAGTGTTCCTTCTTTCTTATGTTTTTATGTTCTAAGGCAGGGTGACCTAAAAAGAAAAATGAAAATTTTTCTATTTAAACTTAGTAATGTATACAGAAGGGATTACTAGCCCCTTGCTCTTAGCATTGTAGTCACCTCTGATGGCATGCATGGCTTACAGAGAAAGAATTCTATCCACTTTCCCATGGATAGGAGGAAATCAAAAAGAACAAGAACCATTAAGAAAACAGAAGAAAACCAAGATGGTTTTATACACATGTATTTTTTTTTTTTCAACAAACCAGCCATATCCCACCAAGGCAGGGTGGCCCAAAAGAAAAACCTAAGTTTCTCTTTTTAAATTCAGCAATTTATACAGGAGAAGGGGTTACTAGCCCCTTGCTCCCGGCATTTTCGTCACCTCTTACAACACGCATAGCTTACGGAGGAAGAATTCTGTTCCACTTCCCCATGGAGATAAGTGGAAATAAACAAGAACAAGAACTAGTAAGAAAATAGAAGAAAACCCAGAGGGATGTGTGTGTATATATATATATATATATATGCTTGTACATGTATGTGTCGTGTGACCTAAGTGCATGTAGAAGTAGCAAGATGTACCTGAAATCTTGCATGTTTATAAGACAGAGAAAAGACACCAGCAATCCTACCATCATGTAAAACAAGTACAGGCTTCTGTTTTACACTCACTTGGCAGGATGGTAGTACCTCCCTGGGTAGTTGCCATCTACCAACTTACTATCAATAAATTAAATTTTTTTTTTTCAACAAACCGGCCATATCCCACCAAGGCAGGGTGGCCCAAAAAGAAAAAACATAAGTTTCTCTTTCTAAATTTGGTAATTTATACAAGAGAAGGGATTACAGGTTGGCCATCACTAATCCGGCATCACTGGGACCTGTAGTATGCCGGATTAGTGAGTTTGCCGGATTACAGAGTAGTTAGGTTAGAATACACTTAATTAACCTATCAATAGAGACACTTTCTACTACATCTTCCTCATTTTTATCACTGCTTTCTCCTCCATTGGCTTTCTGCTGTGGATTTACAACCATCTGCACAATTTCTGAGTCAGTATAATGATTCGAGTCAGTACAATGATGAAATTTGAAATTATGCTAGCCGAAATTAGTGCTAGATTACTGATGGAACCAGATAACTGATTGCCGGATTAGTGATGGTCAACCTGTACTAACCCCTTGCCCCCGGCATTTTAGTCGCCTCTTACTACACGCATGACTTATGGAGGAAGAATTCTGTTCCACTTCCCCATGGAGATAAGAGGAAATAAACAAGAACAAGAACTAGAAAGAAAATAGCAGAAAACCCAGAGGGGTGTGTATATAAATATATATGCTTGTACATGTATGTGTAGTGTGACCTAAGTGTAAGTAGAAGTAGCAAGATGTACCTGAAATCTTGCATGTTTATAAGACAGAGAAAAGACACCAGCAATCCTACCATCATGTAAAACAAGTACAGGCTTCCGTTTTACACTCACTTGGCAAGACGGTAGTACCTCCCTGGGTAGTTGCCATCTACCAACTTACTATCAATAAATTAAAAATGCATGTATAAAATTACCTTAAAACATATTAAAAGCATAAAAATTAAAAATACAGTGGAACCTCAAAAATTGAACTGCTCCCAATACAACCAATTATGTAAGTGTATTTTTGTAAGTGCTTTTATAAGTGTATTTTTGAGGGTCTGAAATGGACTAATCTAATTTACATTATTCCTGATGGGAATAAATTCATTCGGTAAAGGCACTCGAACAGCCTTCTGGACTGAACAAAGTTTGATATTTGAGGTTCCACTGTATCTTAAATCCATGAAAAAACAGGATTTAGGATTTGTGATAAGTGCAAATGAACTGCTAGATGATAAATGAAGGCAAAACTTGTTGGAAACTTGCTATGTAGTTCATACCAGAGTGGATCATCTTCAGTAACGGAGAAGACGAAGTGTGTCATGTAGTATATGTTAGCTACCAAGTGGGAACACTGAGCTTGTACCACAACCGTTGTCAAAAGAGCCACCAGCTCCTTGGTACTCAGCACCAGTTCGGGTTCTCCTTCTGGAAATATATAACATTTTGTAAAAGGTAATTATTTCCATCTAGAACTCATTATTATAATGCATTACTTTGTCTAAAATACTAGGTGACAGAGAATCTATAAATCACACAAAGATGTGAAGAAAATTAAACAAATACACTCCCCTGCCTTATTTAATACCTTGGTCTTTATACTGATGCAGAGTAACCCTGGCTTCTTTAGCCTGAGCCTGGATCAGATCAATCGTTGAGTTAACACACTGAAGGCGGCCCACAGCACTCTCCACACTTGGCAGAGAGGCCAATTCCACCACCTAAAATCAAGTGTCAAGTGATAATGATAACTCTAATTATATATCCATTTAATTGACTCAAGCAAACCAAAGGAAAATGTCAGGGTTTTGGGGAAACTTTATTGAGCAAAAGAAGATTCTTAAGCTGAAATTACAATTACTGTGTGTGTGATACGTCATAAACTATTACCGGCCAGCACCTCACAAATCCATCGTTAAGTGAGGAAAGACTGTAATGTGATTAATAATGGTAACCTAATAGAATAAAAAACAAAATAATTCAATAAGTAAAGTTTAAATTCTTAATTATACAGTCCACTAAATACTCAGTTTTACTCATGTAAATTGTCATAATATGCAGGAACTATATGTGCCTAATCCAGGGTGCCAGAGTTAGTTGGGAAGCTGAAACAGTGGGCATTGAAGGAGGGGCACTGTTTGCGACCCCAGTGTCCCTAAAGTCCCACAAGTCTCCAGGATACATCAATTTCAATAAGTTACAATTTGGTTATGTGTCATGAGTCCTCCCCTAAGTGTGGGTGAAATATTAATTTTGAGACTGTGTTCTTGTGAAAATCCCCTATACTGTACTTCAAGAAAATTGACTCATCAGTCACATGATATAGGGATCTTAGAAAAATAAGCCCACGGCATGCTTTCTTGGGTTGTCTGGATTATTAACTCTCTAGGGTTCCTAATATGGCTAAATTACCCTTCAGTGACAAAGTGAAACAAAATACCAGCATGATGAGGCATGCTGAACTTAGTGATTTTTTTATTGGTTGTTATTTTGTCACAATGAACACAAGACTCTTGTCAATCACAACATAGGTCAAGCTGCATTCAGAATGTGGCTGCAAAAAATAATTTGAAGATTTGAATCATAAATAGTTTATTATGCACTAGAAGATTTATGTATTAAGTAGTTAAGTATTACTCATGCCCTACCCATCAAATATAAAGCAATTTGTGAATAAGTAAACAGGAAGAAAACTTCAAGACAAACAAAAGCCCTTCTTAACCCTTTGAGGGTCCAGGCCAAAGTTCTGCACCTTGTCCACAGGGTTCAAGAATTTAAAAAAAAAAAAAAATCTTATGAAATGGTAGAGAATTTTTTTCTGAAGGTAATACAACAAAAAGTACAAAATCTGATGGAAAATTGACGAAATTACACTATCGCGAATTTTACTGTGTCAGCAACATTTACACATCGGCAATTTTGCCCACTTTGACTCCTATTTAAGGTCAATCACATCATTCCAGTTGCCCAAATTCTTAGCTATTTCATTAGTATCACTTCTATTTTATCGAATGAGCACAAGAAACTGCCCAATCAACTATTTCAACTACCCAATAAAGTGATCAGAAATGGGTAATTTGGCCAATTTCACACAAAGTTCAAAATATTCCAATTTCAAATTAGGGTCTAGAATAAACAATGCAGGCATTCCTGGAAACTAAAATAACATTTCCTCTGTTTATTAGTTATGTTTCTAGGGCTTTACAGATGAATTCCATTTTGATTTTTTATTCACATATAGAATTTTTATTCACACCAAAAACTAGAAGTTATTATAATTTTTTTTTTTTTTCAACAAGTCGGCCATCTCCCACCGAGGCAGGGTGACCCCAAAAAAGAAAGAAAATCCCCAAAAAGAAAAATACTTTCATCATCATTCAACACTTTCACCTCACTCACACATAATCACTGTTTTTGCAGAGGTGCCCAGAACACAACAGTTTAGAAGCATATACGTATAAAGATACACAACATATCCCTCCAAACTGCTAATATCCCAAAACCCCTCCTTTAGAGTGCAGGCATTGTACTTCCCATTTCCAGGACTCAAGTCCGGCTATATAAAAATAACCGGTTTCCTTGAATCCCTTCACTAAATATTACCCTGTTCAAACTCCAACAGATCATCAGGTCCCAAATACCATTCGTCTCCATTGTAATAATTGTATAAATAATATCAGTGCATTCGTGAATGTATATCAGACCCACCAGTTGACGTGTATTGGACGCGTGACATCATCTGTTTACTCTTGAACATTTCCACTACTTTGAGCTCAATTTCAAGCCATTTTCAGTACTAAAAAAAAATCATCTCTATTTCTGTAACATATTTTCCATTCTATCAAATAAGACCAAGAAACTGTGAATACCACAGTAAAAACCACACAAAAATTCACCGCAAAGTTGCTATTTTAATCAAAAAACAATGTCGCAGTTTTTTTTCTCATTATGCACTGTGTGCTGCAGGATTTGCTTTCTATGGTGCACACTTATCACATAGATCCATTCTCTCATATCTAGTCCCAAATTTACCGCTTACAGCTTATCTGAGCGAGCCGAGTTCATGGCGTAGAACTACGACACTGACCCTGGCTTCAAAGCAGTAGAACTACACGACGGACCCTCGAAGGGTTAATGCTAGGTTTACTGACAAAATAAATGCAAACTCCAATAAGGCATTGTAAGAAAACTTTAGAATAGTATATGGTTAAGGAATTCCTGGAACAAGAGAAATGAGAAATGGAATACAGTTCAACATCAAGTATGACAATGTACAAAGCAGTGTGTGTACATAGATGCCACACTAGGGCAGTAACATCTTGCTGTCTCTTGGTCATATACCAGTATTAAGGAAAATTGATTGAGTGATTAATTCATTTTGGATCATACAAATGGGAAACAAATAGTGGAGAAATATCCAACAGGAATATACAGCAATGATATATTAAGAGAAGTCTGATGTCAAGAGGAGCAACAGAGCAGCTGAGATCAAAATCTCAAGCGAATGAGTTATCTAGTCATTGTAATTTTGAGGCTTTTGAGTTTAAGTGAAATTCATAGGTCAGTAATGACATTTATGTATGTTAATAAGATCAAGAAAAATAAGCAACTACCAGATGTTAACAAGAAAACAGTAATAGGAACAGATAAGGTAGCATGTGGGTTTTAAAAGTATATATAACATCTAAGCTATTTACTGGAATTTGAAAAGAATTTTATTACAAGATATAAACAAACTATTTTAATTTTTCTAGAAAAAATAGTAGAGGTAAAAAGAGCAGCAATGCTATACAAAATTACAGGGCAAACACTGTATATTTTGTCTATATTCCCTACACACTTAAATATAATGTTTGTTAATAAAACAGTCAACGTAGTTTTTTGTATGAAGTGAAAACAAGTACAGTGGAATCTCTACTTGCGAGCGCATCTACCTGCGAGTTTTTCCAAATATGAGCAGTTGATGGGTTGATTTTTTGCTCCCATACGTGAGCAAAATTTCCATACGCGAGCAAAATTTCCATAAGCAAGCAGACAGAAGATCCTTCATGTGTTAGCCCAAATCACCGACCAGTATGTTTTAAATAAGTGACCCACTGATCAGATCAGATCGACTGGTCCGAACCCTCGACTGGTCTGAACCCTTGATGGTCCGAACCCTTGACTGGTTACAAACGGTTTCGTTGGACAATAAAGCAGACTGTAAACGGATGGGGTTGTAGGCGCCCTTATCAAACACAAACAATAAATATAAATCAGGAATGTACACGGTAAGCTGTCCAACATACAAGTACAGTTAGAAATAGAAATACAAATAGCTAGAGCTTCATTTAAGGAGGTTATTAATAGAGTACTCAAGAGGTTGCTAGTAGAATTACAGTAAATCAACCATTCAAATCATTATGAAGCTCTGTGTAGTCTGCAGTCAATCAAACAAACGGGCTTCCACATGGATAAATTGTCATTTTTGTGGAAATTGGTGTCACGCCCCTTGTGCAGATATCCAAGAACTAGCTACAAGCAGTATTAAAACAGGGAAGTGTTTTTGGGTATGCCCAAATGAGATAAATCTGTGGACTAAAATCACAAGGGTATTAAAAGAGGATAACATCAAAGCTGCTTTCATAGACAACCAGGAAGCTTTCTACAACAGATGGGAACATAAAAAGTCTGGGCTGAATGGTACTGCCCTTGATACTGGCCATGTAGTCAGAAACTGTAAGGCTGGAGGTGATGTCCTGGTAGTCAGTAAATGTGGGGCTGATAGTGCTGTCCTGGGAGACAGTAATGGTGAAGCTGGAGGTGCTGTCCTGGGAGACAGTAATGGTGAAGCTGGAGGTGCTGTCCTGGGAGACAGTAATGGTGAAGCTGGAGGTGCTGTCCTGGGAGACAGTAATGGTGAAGCTGGAGATTTTGTCCAGGTAGTCGGGAATTATACGCAGGAAGGAATACACATAAATGACCTCATAGGGGACAGGAGCCGTAGTGGGGAAACAAGTGTAGTCAAAGATAAGATAAAACCAATATTGCAAACTAGAAATACCACAGGAAATAGCAAACAAGAGGACTCCACTAGCAATAGTGAGGATTATTTACCAAAAACAACTGGTGGGAGCTCCATTGTTGGTGCTAGGGAGGATAGGAATAAGACAGGGAAACATGCACCAACAGGGAATACAGTCACAGAAACCCAAGGCAAACGGAAACCAAGCCTGTGCACATACTATGCACTTGGTATCTGCAGACATGGGAAATCTGGAAAAACAGACGGGACGTGCAACTATGACCACCCTAGAAAATGCCATGCCCATATGACAACAGAAAAATGCAAACTCCCTTCCTGTAAGCTTTTTCACCCTGAAATGTGTACCTCTTCAGTACAGGAAAGACTGTGCTATAACTTAAATTGCCAGGCACACAATCTAAAGGGGACATAAATATACAAAACATCTAGGCCATGGGAAAACCTGGGTAGCCACAGCCACTCAAGAGGGAGAGGTTTTTTAGTGCCAGGAAGGAAAAAAAACTGGCAGGAAATGGCAGAATTCGTACACCAAATCCAGTCATTCCTGGAGTGGAACCACAGTCGATGGCCCCCACTCCAAACCAACAGATACAGATACTAATGCCGGAAAAAAAATCCCCCCCCCCCAGTACCAACAATACCACCAGTCCGATGACATTCTTCTTTGCAAATATACAGGGTCTAAAGCCAGCAACAAACAACAAAATACCTTTCATCCGTGGACTGCTTGCAGAGGCAAAGGCAATGTTCGCGGCTTTCACTGAGACCCACATAAAGGATCACTTGGACAATGAAATATGGATCCCAGCTTACAACCTATACAGATGTGACAGAGTGAACAGGCAAAAGGGGGAGGTTGGCCTGTACATTGCAGAGTCACTTGTTTGCACAGAACTTCTTAATGCCTCAAATGATGTAGTGGAAGTTTTAGCAGTAAAGGTCGAGAACCAAAACCTAGTCATTGTGGTAGTCTACAAGCCTCCGGATGCAACATCCCAGCAATTCCAGGAACAGCTGTTAAAAATTGACCACTGTCTGGAAAATCTGCCAGCTCCTGCACCCAACATCTTGCTCCTGGGGGATGTTAACTTAAGGCACCTAAAATGGAGGAATATAGCAAATAATATTGTTGCAGTAATAACACCAGGAGGCAGCTCTGATGAAAACTCACACTCACACGAGCTTTTAAATCTCTGCACAAAATTCAATATAAACCAGCAAATAATAGAGCCTACTAGACTGGAGAATACACTAGACCTCATCTTCACTAACAATGATGATCTGATAATTAATGTCACCATATCAAAAACAATATACTCAGATCACAACATAATTGAGGTTCAGACATGTATCCGTGGAGTTCCAGACCGACATAATGAGACTAGTCACAAGGGAGCATTCACCAAATTCAACTTCAATAACAAAAACAAAGTGGGACCAAGTAAATCAAGTCCTAACCGATATAAGCTGGGAAGATATACTAAGCAACACAGACCCCAACTTATGCCTAGAACAGATTAACTTGGAGGCACTCGATGTATGCACAAGGCTTATTCCTCTAAGAAAAAGGAGGAGTAGATGTAAAATAGAAAGAGACAGGCGCTCCCTTTACAGGCGATGGAAAAGAATAACAGAGCGGCTAAAAGAGGTCAATATATCTGAAATGCGTAGGGAGACATTGGTCAGAGAAATAGCAAGCATCGAACTTAAGCTAAAGTAATCTTATAGGAATCAGGAATCTCGGGAAGAACTAAAAGCCATAAATGAAATCGAAAGAAACCCAAAGTATTTCTTCTCCTATGCCAAATCAAAGTCAAGAACAACGTCCAGTATTGGGCCCCTACTTAAACAAGATGGGTCCTACACAGATGACAGCAAGGAAATGAGTGAGCTACTCAACTCCCAATATGACTCAGTTTTTAGCAAGCCGCTAACCAGACTGAGAGTCGAAGATCAAAATGAATTTTTTATGAGAGAGCCACAAAATTTGGTTAACACAAGCCTATCCGATGTTATCCTGACACCAAATGACTTCGAACAGGCGATAAATGACATGCCCATGCACTCTGCCCCAGGGCCAGACTCATGGAACTCCGTGTTCATCAAGAACTGCAAGAAGCCCCTATCACGAGCCTTTTCCATCCTATGGAGAGGGAGCATAGACACGGGGGTCGTCCCACAGTTACTAAAAACAACAGAACATTAGCCCCACTCCACAAAGGGGGTAGTAAAGCAACAGCAAAGAACTACAGACCGATAGCATTAACATCCCATATCATAAAAATCTTTGAAAGGGTCCTAAGAAGCAAGATCACCACCCATCTAGAAACCCATCAGTTACACAACCCAGGGCAACATGGGTTTAGAACAGGTCGCTCCTGTCTGTCTCAACTATTGGATCACTACGACAAGGTCCTAAATGCACTAGAAGACAAAAAGAATGCAGATGTAATATATACAGACTTTGCAAAAGCCTTCGACAAATGTGACCATGGCGTAATAGCGCACAAAATGCGTGCTAAAGGAATAACAGGAAAAGTCGGTCGATGGATCTATAATTTCCTCACTAACAGAACACAGAGAGTAGTCATCAACAGAGTAAAGTCCGAGGCAGCTACGGTGAAAAGCTCTGTTCCACAAGGCACAGTACTCGCTCCCATCTTGTTCCTCATCCTCATATCCGACATAGACAAGGATGTCAGCCACAGCACCGTGTCTTCCTTTGCAGATGACACCCGAATCTGCATGACAGTGTCTTCCATTGCATGCAGACACTGCAAGGCTCCAGGCGGACATCAACCAAATCTTTCAGTGGGCTGCAGAAAACAATATGAAGTTCAACGATGAGAAATTTCAATTACTCAGATATGGTAAACACGAGGAAATTAAATCGTCATCAGAGTACAAAACAAATTCTGGCCACAAAATAGAGCGAAACACCAACGTCAAAGACCTGGGAGTGATCATGTCGGAGGATCTCACCTTCAAGGACCATAACATTGTATCAATCGCATCTGCTAGAAAAATGACAGGATGGATAATGAGAACCTTCAAAACTAGGGAGGCCAAGCCCATGATGACACTCTTCAGGTCACTTGTTCTATCTAGGCTGGAATATTGCTGCACACTAACAGCACCTTTCAAGGCAGGTGAAATTGCTGACCTAGAAAATGTAGAGAACCTTCACGGCGCGCATAACGGAGATAAAACACCTCAATTACTGGGAGCGCTTGAGGTTCCTAAAACTGTATTCCCTGGAACGCAGGCGGGAGAGATACATGATTATATACACCTGGAAAATCCTAGAGGGACTAGTACCAAACTTGCACACGAAAATCACTCACTATGAAAGCAAAAGACTTGGCAGTTGATGCAACATCCCCCAATGAAAAGCAGGGGTGTCACTAGCACGTTAAGAGACCATACAGTAAGTGTCAGGGGCCCGAGACTGTTCAACTGCCTCCCAGCATACATAAGGGGGATTACCAACAGACCCCTGGCAGTCTTCAAGCTGGCACTGGACAAGCACCTAAAGTCGGTTCCTGACCACCCGGACTGTGGCTCGTACGTTGGTTTGCGCGCAGCCAGCAGCAACAGCCTGGTTGATCAGACTGGGCCGTGGGGGCGTTGACCCCCGGAACTCTCTCCAGGTAAACTCCAGACCTCAAGGCAGGTGCCTCGACGCTGGTGAGGGGCTCTTGGTATTGATCTAGGGAATTGTACCTCATTTGTTTGTTGGACTATCATATTGAAACTTGGGCAATGTTTGATGGAAAGACGCTTCTTAACGTACACCAAATTTGAAAGAAGTCTAAGCATAAATAATGGAGTTCACTTCTCAGCAATTAGCCACCCCTTAATGGTATTTTTGTATGGTTTTTATGGTTGTATTCTCGTTTTTTTTTGTCTCATTTGATAGAATGGAAGATATATTACAGAAATAGATATGATTTTGATTGCTTTCACAACAAAAAGTCCCTTGAAATTGAGCTCAATTTAGGAGGAATGTTTGATTGTTTTGACTATGTCCATTCCAATATGCAGTCGTGAATGGGTTGACATTATACAATTATTGAAATAAGGCATAACAGTAAATCTTAGATGAAGTGAGATAGATAAATAAGCCATAGAGTTGATATTAGCAAATTTATTGAAGTACAGAATTCACTGGAACAGATTAATTACATTTCAATTAATTTAAATGAGGAAAATTGACTCTGCAAACAAGCAAATCCAGCTGCGAGCAAGGTCATGGAAGGGATTAAACTCATAAGCAGAGGTTCCACTGTACTTCACTACAGTACCTAATATATAAAACAACCCATTAGAATTTGAAAGAAAGAAGTTCAAGTATTTGACTAACAGACAATTTAGTGAAACATTAATGATGTATATAAAGAAAAGTGTATACCCAAAAAAGCTTAGCCTATAATTTAGAGGTAGATGACTTACAGCTGCAGGAAGAGGAGTGTAATAATTAGGTGGAACACCAAGCTGAAGAGCAGAGAGATTAGCATGACGCAGGTGTGATAATCTTGTCTTCACCAGCTGATCAACCACTTGGCATCGTTCGCACACTAGCCACCACAACACCTCATGAAGTCGGCCTAACACATAGCTGAAGTAAAGAGTTCTTGTTTAAACATTCAGCTAGAGAGTAGTGAATCAAAACTTGAAGTTGGCTTACATTTCACTTCGTTTTTGGATTGCAGCTGTTGAAGGACCTACAATTATTTATAAATTTTGTAATAAATACTATGAGCATTAAGCAAAATGTAAGCAATATCTGAGTACTGTAGCTTTCCTCTTCTTTCAACAAACCAGCCGTATCCCACCGAGGGAGGGTTTACCTGGAGTTTACCTGGAGAGGGTTTCGGGGGTCAACGCTCCCGCAGCCCGCTCTGAAACCAGGCCTCATGGTGGATCAGGGTCTGATCAACCAGGCTGTTACTACTGGCCGCACACAAGCTCACGTATGAACCACAGCCCGGTTGGTCAGGTACTGACTTTAGGTGCCTGTCCAGTGCCTTCTTGAAGACAGCCAGGGGTCTATTGGTAATCCCCCTTATGTATGCTGGGAAGCAACTGAACAGTCTTGGGCCCCGGACACTTTTTGTGTTCTCTCTCAGTGTACTCTTGGCACCTCTGCTCTTCATCAAGGGAATGTTGCATCTCCTGCCAAGTCTTTTGCTTTCGTATGGAGTGATTTTCGTGTGCAGGTTTGGTACCAATCCCTTCAGGACCTTCCAAGTGTATATTGTCATGTATCTCTCGCCTGCGTTCAAGGGAATACAGATCAAGGACCTTCAACCGTTCCCAGTAGTTGAGGTGCTTTATCACACTTATGTGTGCTGTGAAAGTTCTTTGTACACTTTCCAGGTCTGCAATGTCACCAGCCTTGAAGGGGGCAGCTAGTGTACAACAGTATTCCAGCCTAGAGAGCACAAGCGATTTGAAGAGAATCATCATGGGCTTAGCGTCCCTAGTTTTGAAGGTTCTCATTATCCATCCTATCATTTTCCTAGGAGATGAGGTAGATACAATGTTGTAGTCTGTGAAGGCGAGATCCTCTGACATTATCACTCCCAGGTCCTTCACATTACTTTTCCACTCTATTGTATGGTTAGAATTTGTGGTATACCCTGACACATTTTTAATTTCTTCAAGTTTTCCACATCTGAGAAGTTGAAATTTCTCCTCGTTGAATTTCATATTGTTTTGAGTGACCCATTCGAAGATTTGGTCAATGTCCCAAAAAGAAAAATGAAAGTTTCTCTTTTTAAATTTAGTAATTTATACAGGAGAAGGGGTTACTAGCCCCTTACTTCCGGCATAGTACTGTAGCTATTTCTATATTTAACTGGAGTGAGTGGAGATACCTAGGTAGTAGGTTGGTAGACAGCAACCGCCCAGGGAGGCACTACCGTCCTGCCAAGCGAGTGTAAAACGAAAGCCTGTAATTGTTTTACATGATGGTAGGATTGCTGGTGTCCTTTTTTCCGTCTCATGAACATGCAAGATTTCAGGTACGTCTTGCTACTTCTACTTACACTTAGGTCACACTACACATATATGTACAAGTGTATATATACATACCCCTCTGGGTTTTCTTCTATTTTCTTTCTAGTTCTTGTTCTTGTTTATTTCCTCTTATCTCCATGGGGAAGTGGAACAGAATTCTTCCTCCGTAAGCCATGCGTGTTATAAGAGGCGACTAAAATGTCGGGAGCAAGGGGCTAGTAACCCTTTCTCCTGTATATATTACTAAATTTGAAAGGAGAAACTTTCGTTTTTCCTTTTGGGCCACCCCGCCTCGGTGGGATACGGCCGGTGTGTTGAAAGAAAGAAAGAGTGGAGATACGTGGTTTCTATGACTTCATGTGCTGTTGGAGTGTGAGAAAGGTAACATTTATGAAGGGATTCAAGGAAACTTGACAAGAGTCTTGGAGGTGGGAAGTACAGTGCCTGCACTCTGAAGGAGAGGTGGAGATATGTTGCAGTTTTTTTGAACTAGGGTATCAGCATACCTCTAGCAAGATAGTGATGGAGTGAGTGATGCTGAAAGTGTTCCTTCTTTTTCAGGCCATCCTGCCTCAGTGGGAAACTGGTGATGTTATAAAAAAAAAATTCTGATACAGTACAATAACGAATACTACAGACCATTTTTATGGAAGTGATTGGACATTTTTAAAACTGCAAATTATTCATTATTTTTAAAATGTTATTCTTAATTTTGTTTACAAGAGTTTCCCTTCCTTAAGGGTATGGCTAAAAATGTAATTTTCCTTATAAAAATATTAGCACTAAACCACCTTCACAATTTTATCCCAATAAAAACTTTTTCTGTAACTTTGGTCTTTCTCTTCAAACTTTAAGCATTTTTGCAGCAAAACTTAATTAGTTGCTGATTTCACTCTTAAACATATGAAGAAGTTATAATTTCCCAGCAGACTATATCATATGGAAAAAATAGCAATTGTATCAGCAAGTGAATATACATAGATTTACAAGAGCCATGGAAAGCATCAGCAAAGGCATTAAGCATCAGAAAAATATTAATGGTACAGAGACAGGAAATCAGGAGTCAATGAGAGGAATAAATAGAGGTAAGAAAGTGTGATGCACACCAATTAATTCTACCTTTGCTTCTTCTTTCTAATTCATTTAAGAAAAAATGACTGCAGAATGTACCCCACTTTATCAACCTGGCATTTATTCGTAGCACTACCAGTCATCAACACTACAGTAGATGCGTTGCTTATTTTGTTAATGATATCCAGAAAAATTACCTGAAGCTGAGTGCTCGAATACACAAATAACCCACACAGAGGAGAAAGAAACTTTGTGATGACATTTTTGTCCAATTTGAACCATTAACTTCTCCTGAAATCGTAGTGACAATTGCAAACAAACCATACCACGGGTTAGGCTCGAAGCTGCAGTCAGAGTCGTAAAACCCCAGACTGACGCGTTATCCACTGGGCCAGTTGGCTTCAATAAGATTCATCAAGTTAGGTATATAAATATGGTGTATAAATATACCTAGCAGGATGAATCATATTGTAGCCAGCTGGCCCAGTGGATAACGCATTGGTCTGGAGTTTTATGACTGACCGTGGATTCAACCCCACCCATGGTATGGTTTGTTTACCACTAACTAGTCACACTAGTGACTAGTTAATGGTAACTGTGTAATATTCTTCAATAAAATTTCATTTACTAATTTTAATTAAGAAGATTTAGCCCCTATTTTATATTCACTACTGTTTCTTTTCCTAAGTTAAAATTCCCCAAGTTGGAGACCTACTGCATCCACTCCAACCACAGCTACTATACTTCCCATTCATACCTTAACTATTACATAATAAAAAAACAAAAAGAAACAAAAGAGATGAAGGGTACATTCCAGGAAGGGCTGGAAGGAGAGTGTGAAGATTTGGAGCTGTGGAAGCTTGATCATCCAGGATGCATGTGTGAGCTTGAGTGGATACAAGTGGGTTTTGTGACTTGACATGCTGTTTAAGTGCAAGTAAATTAACTTCCATGAATGGATGGGAAACTGGGTGGATGAACTCAAGTTTTGGAGGCAGGAAGTAGAGTGCTTGTACTTTGAATGAAGGGTAATGTTGCAGCTAGGAGGGACATTTGTATTGTGATCTTGATTCACTTCTGTAAAGGCAACTAGAGAAAGATTGATGGTGAATTTGTTGCCTTCGTTGGGTCACCCTACCATGGTGGGAAAGAGCCTATGTGATAAATAAAAGTTATCAACACAATCCCATGTCCAACTAATAAAAAGTTCAATAACCAACACTATCACAATGATTCATGAAATCTTAGTAACAAAACTGGAAGCAAATCACAGAACTAACACCATTATCAATTCCAACATAGTCACTTACATCTGTGACCTCATCCTGATACTTACTAATCCAGTGCTCTAAACAATACATCCTGGAAGCTAGTATTCATTTGAAGAGTTGGTGAATGCTTCTTGAGTAGTGTCTCCCAGCAGTGGATGAGCACATCTTGTAGGACATTCTGCATCTGATCCACATCATTACCTGGATGAATGTGCTTAGAGGCTTCCAACACCTTTTTATCAATCTCTTGAAGGAGTGGCTGGTGACAGCGGAACTTGCGCAAGAAAACTTCTGCTCTGAAATTAAGATTAACAAACTAATAGTCTGTGAACAGACTAACTTACAAAAGTTCTTACAAACACCAAAAGTTAACTAGGTTTATATTAAATGACAGCTATGTGTAACAAATTTATAAAAAATATAGTACAGTGGACCCCCGCATAACGATCACCTCCGAATGCGACCAATTATGTAAGTGTATTTATGTAAGTGCGTTTGCACGTGTATGTTTGGGGGTCTGAAATGGACTAATCTACTTCACAATATTCCTTATGGGAACAAATTCGGTCATTACTGGCACCTGAACATACTTCTGGAATGAAAAAATATCGTTAACCGGGGGTCCACTGTATATTACTGCAGCTAAGGTAAATAATTAGTGAGTACAGTAGTGAGCATTATGATAAACAGCAAACATAACAGAGAAACATCAAACTGTAAGATCTTTAACTTGGGTTGAAAGACAGATGTCAATAGACATTGTAGTAAAAAGACACTTATAATAGAACAAGCATTTATCTTGATAATGTTTCACACATACAGTTGCTAGTGAGGGGGTTCTTCATACAAGGAAATGAACCAAGCCATCTCTTCTGTGGATCTCACCTGACAGCCACTTATTCTCCAAGCACTGTATGATTCTTGAGGGATTAGCAATTAACATGATTATAATAATAATTTACTTACAGGTGAGCTTGAAAAGGTTCACCTGTGAGCAAATGTTACTGTAATAAAGGCATGGTCTGCTGTATCTTTGTACCAGCATGATTAACTTACTGAGCAAACGAGGTGATTGTTGTTGAGAGCAGCTGAGTTGACACTTCAGTATCTTGATCCTGTGTAGTACTGAGCAATCTGTCTAACAGCAAAATATGAATAACTTTATCCTGAAAAGAAAGACAACATTATAGCACTTCTGAATCAATTTCAAGGTACATATTTTAACATTTCCACAAAAGAAAACTCCAAAAAAAAAACTAAACTATCATAACTGGGACAAGGTAATGATATTTCTAAAAAAAATTGAAAAGTATATCAGTTTCCTGAAATAAGGCAAGTACTGTATGCTGATTTCTCTGGTATTAGTTATAGAAAAAAAACTAAATACAGATGCTCGTAGGGCAAATGATGTACTGCTGTGAACAAAAAACAAGAAAATAAAAGAGGAAAGATATAACCAAAAAAAAAAAACTGGTTTAGGTGCCAACTCTTAAATGCCAGTAAATAACCTATAGGTGATTTTAAATCTAATGGGAACAACCTTATATTAAACTTGCCTTTACAGTGATCAGGTACTCATTAAGAACAGTTGCCTTTGAAACCACAACCTCTGTTCCCTCTTCTTCATTGGAGATGATGACTCGCGGTTCCTCACCAGTAATTTCATATATCAAGCCCTCTCCACACAGAGCGCTTACATATTGACTGTACACCAAGGAAAGATAAAATTTGTGAACATGATTATTATATTATACTCCCAAAATGCACCAAACCCATATTATAAAGCATTGCAGAGATGAGTGAAAACTATGAATGAAAGAATGAAGAGTCCAGGTCATGCGGAAGTCAGAGATGCCAGAGGGCCATGTAGAACACCGGTACCACTTTCAGGCAACAAGCATCTGAAGAATTGGACACGTGCAACATCTGCGTATTTTTATTTGCAAACATTTTGCTATCCAGTGGCCTTATCTGGTCGATATTATATATCATTCATGTACAATAAACAATTACCCAAAAGTGATTCTATACTCTGAGGAGAGTTCATGGCTGTGATGGGGTCATTAAAAGGAGTCACAATCATATGGGATCCAGGAGAATGAGCCTCTATCACATAAGAAGGAAAAAGAAAAAGGGCAACTTTGAGAGTAAACAAAAGGAAAGCAAGTACTGACTCTGAACTACACTCATCTCCAGTGTGAGAGTCAGAAATGTTGTTCTCATCCTCTACCCTACCTGGTGCACAACACCAGCATGGCACCTCAAGAATTAACAGATCTAGGGTTAGCAAAATCCTCTCATTAGTCTAAAGCAAAAATCATGTGACTGTCTTTCAGTCACTAACTGTAGTGGGTGAACCAGAAAGAATACCAGGAGTTATGCACCTCTGCTTGCCATTCATGGAACCACAGGCAAACTCTGGCAATACTTCTATCAATGGCCCAGTCTGATGTCCTCCCAATGTATCACCAGAGGATCACCTGACCTGTATTAAAATGATCCACTGTTCATTGGGTGGAGTAACACAAGCACCACAGCACTACAATGGAAGCTACATTAGCAAACAGTTGATAGTGGTTTCTTTTCCTTGCCCAGAAGCTGAATTTTACAAAAGGAGCAAATTTTCCCATATATGAGGTCAAACAGAGAAGGGTTGAGATATTTACACTCAATCTGAAGCAGGGGAAAAAATATCTAGTTACTTAATCAAGAGCCCCTCTGACATGATAAGAAACCTCCTTAAAGGGGAGGAGTGAGCATGAACTTTCTAATACAAAGCCTTAAGATGGCATATCTCATACAGCCTGAACTCTCAGTTTTATTTAAAATGACCTTACACTTAAAAACCACTTATTTCATGCACTGAAAATCATTTATCATATTAGTCTCTAGTGGCATTAGAATGGGAGCATAAAGAACTTGTGATATCAGGTTTTTACATATGCTGTAACACACTTGATGACCTACTCACCCAGTTGAGCTATACTGCTTCAGAGCATGTGCTTCTGAAAAAATGAGATATTGCCATGAGCAATGCAACAAACATATCTTACATAACTTAACTCTTAACTAACATTCAGTTTATATATAATAGTAATGCTTACATAACTTTAATAACTCATTCACACTGAGTCTTACACAAACTATTTTGTCCTGGCAATGTTTTATTGTAATTATTAAACTAAGAGCAAACTACCAAAAATATAATGAAGTTCATACTATGAAAAATTTTCAGCATTATATAAAAATACAGAACTGTATATGTGATTTTTTCCTTACTAAAGCATCATTAGTGAACCTAGTTAATGATCAATCAACATTATCCATCACTTGAATTCTTCAGTTTTTTTTTAACATGTTGGCAGTCTCCTACCAAGGCAGGGTGACCCAAAAAAGAAAAACACTTTCAACTAATGTGACATTTTATTATGGCAACGTTTCGCTCTCCAGGAGCTTTATCAAGCCGTTACAAACAGTACATGGACACAGAGGGTATATATAGGCTCAGAGTGAGGTGCAATACTAGTGGTGGTAGTAGTAGTGATATAAGTTGTAGTGGTAGTGATGGTAGTGATACAAGTTGTAGTGGTAGTAGTAGTAATACAATATGTTAGAACAATAAACTTGCACATGAGTAAAGGATATAAGAGCTATTACTTGGGAAACATAAAAATTGGTTAGACAAATATCCGCAGATGCAAGTGTCTTGAATCTTCACTAATAGCCGTTTCTAATACTATTAAATAAAACAAAGGCAGCTTCATCTCTGAAGTCTTAGTAAGAATCCTCCTGAAAACAGTAAACCCTGCCATCACTTTAGTCTCTCCTGTTAATACTACACAAGCAGATTACAGAGAATGAACATTGAAACAGGCCTTCTCTATCCAGCCTCCAATAGAAATATTTGTCTAACCAATTTTTATGTTTCCCAAGTAATAGCTTTTATATCCTTTACTCATGTGCAAGTTAATTGTTCTAACATATTGTATTACTACTACAGTACTACCACTACAACTTATATCACTACTACTACTGCTACCACTAGTATTGCACCTCACTCTGAGCCTATATATACCCTCTGTGTCCATGTACTGTTTGTAACGGCTTGACAAAGCTCCTGGAGAGCGAAACGTTGCCACAATAAAATGTCACAATAGTTGCACTTGTGTCCTTTGACTTTACATACTGTCGGTAATTCTACCAACTTTATTACAAAAACACTTTCACAATCAGTCACACAAAATCACTGTCTTTGCAGAGGCATACAGTAAATAAAACATAAATGTTTCTAATTTAAATGTCTAAATAACTTCAAAAATCTGAAGCTAGTCTGAAAATTTAAGAAGGTAAAAGAGAATGGATAAGAATATTTATTAAGGCCAACATATATTAGACTTAGTTGGACTTATAAATTACATACAACTACCTTTCTCCTTACCTATGATAGGTAGTGTAAGAGGTATATTCTCTATGGCAGACTGCTGGGGCACACATATTACCCAGTTGGGTTCACACCATCTTGCCATCTCTTCTCCATGGTGTTCCTGGTGGCAATCAGTGATGATAATTTCCAGTTTCTGTTACTTATCACATTTCAGAAAAATCATGCACAGAAATAGCCTCTTGCTCCTGGAATTTTAGTTACTCTTTTTTATTGTACACTTCAATTATATCTCCCCTAATTCATCATCCTTTGTCATCCTTTTCTGTATAATATTAGGTGCATGTATGTCAATATGGAGACCAGAGCTGAGCACCATACTCTAAATTGGGACTTCTATTATTTATATTTATATTAGTTTTATTGCAACTATTAATGCAATGTTTTTTGGCTTTTAATTTCTGCCAACCTAAACTCCTAAATCTGTTTTGCATTTACTCTGATTTAAATCTACATTAATTAGCATAAGTGCCACAGTTATTTTCTTCTAGGTTTAGAACCTTACTTTTGTCTGAAGTGACCTGCAGCTGCCACTTCTCTGACCACATCATCAACCTATTTAGGTCATCCTAGAAATTTCTTGTGTCCACATTAGAAATTATTTGACAGCCTATTTTAGTGTCATCAGCAAACTTGTTCCCTCTTCCCGCAAGGGTCCCAATATTGACCCTTGTGATACATCACTCATAACAGGTCCCCATTGTTTTCTCCTATTAATGCAACCTCAACTACTGGTCAGCCATGTCTTGATCAAAGAAATAATTTTCCTCCTATGCAATCTGCCAGTGCAGTCTGGGCTTACTGAAGACCATATAAACAATATCATAACTTTTTTAAGGTTTACCCCCTCGAATACCTTAGCAAAAATGTTAGTACGTAATTAGGTTAGACATATGAAGGTAGCTCTATTCCTTTGGATCAAGAACCCTTCACAGGTATCAAGGTGCCTTCCCCAAAGGGCATAAAATATATAAAATTCATGTATGTAAAAGTGAATTTTTTGGCAAGGCAGGAGAAAGGCCTTACCTGAAGATGTTTGTAGAAGACATTGTTGTCAAGGTCATGATCTGTCATGGTTGTTGTAGGCCACAGTACTGCCTGTTGCTGCTGCTGCTGCACCGCTGCTGCTGCTGCACCGCTGCTGCTGCTCCTGCTGCTGCTGCTCCTGCTGCTCCTGCTGCTGCTGCTCCTGCTGCTGCTGCTCCTGCTGCTGCTGCTCTGATCCTGTCGCTGCCCTGCTGCTGCGCTGCTGCTGCTCCTGCTGCTGCTGCTGCTGCTGCTCCTGCTCCTGCTGCTGCTGCTGCTCCTGCTGCTGCTGCTCCTGCTGCTGCTCCTGCTGCTGCTGCTCCTGCTGCTGCTGCTCCTGCTGCTGCTGCTCCTGCTGCTGCTGCTCCTGCTGCTGGCTCTGCTGCTGCTGCTCCTGCTGCTGCTGCTGCTCCTGCTGCTGCTGCTCCTGCTGCTGCTGCTCCTGCTGCTGCTTGCCCTCATCAAGCATGCTGCAAAACATATTATGTTAAGCTGGCCAAACATGTCAGAACTGACAGTGAACAATGCAGTAAAAAACTGCAAATACCAGGCATACCTGTACCTAAATAAATTTACTTATATTCCTGTATAAACAGGCCCAGTGTCTACCCCCCTTGAGGGATTCACATGATTATGTCTAGCTCTTATACAACGTCACACAGATTAACCTTATTCTTAATGGTACTCTGTTTTATCAAAAAAATTGCGAGTCTACAAATCACTTGGAACAAAATGATGAGATTCATCCTGGGGCTGGGTCCAAGAGCATGTAGGCCACAATGAATTACAACTGGACACACTGAATGTTGAAGACAGAGTAAAGCAACTGAAGTTAAATCATGTTTATAAAATTGCTCTCAATCAGTATTCTGAATATGTATTTTGCTGTGTACTTTGTCAAGGTTAGCAACCAAAACCAGAATGGTATTTAGGGGAAGTGAGCACAGTCACGTAGTACCTACATTATTATTATCATGGGGGAATGCTAAACCTGTAGAGATTATACAGCACCTGTGGGGAAGGGGGGTGGTGGAAGGCATTCAGGCTCAATTTAGGGAACTGGAGCACAGACAATTCCCTAAACAAAGAGCCCCTCACCAGCATGAAGAAACCTCCACTGAGTGTTGCAGTACCTGGAGTATACCTGGAAAGAGTTTTGGGGTCAATGCCCCCACAGCTCGGTCTGTGACCAGGGCCTGATCAGCCAGGCTGTTACTGTTGGCTGTACGTAAACTGACGTACAAACCTACAGTAGATGGTCAGACCTCAAACACCTTCAATAAAATTGCTGTTTCTTCAACATCTTTTATAATTGTTCCATAACCTGATGACATAGAGCCAGTTTGAAACTGCTTATGAAATCCCAATTATTTTAAGATCACTGAATCAGTTAGTTAATTACATTTGTACCTTGTTCAGCTATCAAAACTTTGGGGCCCAGTCCCTGGACACATTATGTACCTCTGTAATCTTTTGACTACCGCCCACAGGAGGGGTATGGGGTGCATAACAAACATATTAAACTAAAAAAAAACTAAACTATGTCTCAAGAGTTATATTACAAAAATGAGTTGCCACCTACCCAGGCATGAATTTTACAAAGATAATATAGTGCTTTAATACGGAAACTTTTTTGTTAACTGATTTTAAAAAGAAGAGAACAATAAAAGAATGTAAGTTAGTGGCAACACATGTAAGGCTAGTCCTAGCATTAACCAGGTCAGGAATAGACCTAAAAGTTACCTAATAAATGAAACTACACTATTATTATTATAATCAAAACAAAGAGCTAAACCTATTAGGGTCAAATGAAATGAAGGAAAATAATTTGTTGTATAGTTTACATTCTTTAACTTCTTAGGCTGAAGTCTCTATTTAATGTGAACGTAAACTATTAAGTTTACTTTATCCCTATTGTACCTCCTTTTACTGTACCTGACTGTCACGCAGATAAGTTACTAAGCTGTTTTATTCTTCATGGTTAAAATGATGACTTATTTCTTCTATATCAAACAACTAGTTTGCTAATAATAATATATTACAAGGACCACGATACAAATAAGTCACTTTGTCTTTGTTGTTTATCCTTGGTAATATACACACATGTTACTATTAAGACAATTATAATCACCTACAACTTGAGTAAGTGTACTAAAATGTAATTATAAGTGAATAAAGTAACTTACTTAACCACCTGACAACCATATGTGTTGTTGTTGTTGTTGTTGGGTTGTTAAGGACCAAGAAAACTTACTTCCTGCCTCCTGGGGGCACCAATATACTTATATATTACACAAATCTAGACTTTAATTGAAAAAGGAAACAAAGTTTGCTAGTAAAACATAAATTGGAATAATGTTCTTCAATTAGGTGAGGTGAAGGCTTCCCAGCAGTGACAAACATCCCTGATAACATTACAGACAAATTCTTAAAAGATGGTTCCTGGGAATTACCAGCCACCATTGTGCACATAATAAACTTGTCCCTCACCACCAACACTGTGCCTGAGAGGCCACAGTTACTCATATCTTCAAGAAAAAACAGTAGGTCTAATGTCAGCAACTATAGGCCTCTGGGTATACTCAGTGTGATGTCCAGAATTCTATATTTAACTGTACCTAAATAAACTTACCTACTAATCTTAATGATAAAAAACATTCTTCACCAAATTAAACTTCAATAACAGAAACATACAGTGGGACCAAAGTAACTATGTCCTAAATGAATCAAGCTGGCAAGATTTTCTCAACAACACTGATACGAACCTTTGCCTAAAAAATAATTAACATTTTGGCACTTGAGGAATGCTCAAGGCACATTACCCTAAGAAAAAAAAATGTAAACTAGAAAGAGAGATATACTCTCTCTACAGGCGAAGACGAAGAATCACAGAGCTGCTGAAAGGGGCCAGGTCTCTCTGAAACATGGAAGGAGGCGATGGTCACAGAAATACAATATATCCAACTTAAAGCTTAAGGAATCATAAAGGAGCTAAAAATCACAGGAAGAACTATAACAATAAATGAAATTGAGAAAAAAATATGTTAACTTATGCCAGATCTAGGGCAAAAAACACATCCAGTATTGGAGTCATACTGTTATTGCCTTATTACTCTTAAGTTAGTTTTAGGTTTGCCCAAAATGTTCTGCATATAAAGGGGTTTTTGGTATGTACACCCAAATGCCATTCACCTTTATACAAAGACTGTATCATGCTAAAATAAACTTATTCTTATCACTAGAACTAAGGAATCATGTAGCAAATAGTAGACAACAAACTATCACTGCACCTCGGGAAAATAGAAACCATACTCCGTGGCACGAAAAGTAAACTGAAAAGGGTAAATACTTTTAATGCCCAGTGTAATGGGGAACTTATCACTTCAGTATCTTCAGTGAAATATCTGGGAATTCCCTATGACCCAAGCACATCAGAATTAGTAAGTGTCCGGGGCCCAAGATTGTTCAACTGCCTCCCAGCATACATAATAATAGACCCCTGACTGTCTTCAAGAAGGCACTGGACAGGTACCTAGTCAGTACCTGACCAACCGGGCTGTGGTTCGTACATCAGTTTTTGTGCAGTCAGCAGTAACTGCCTGGTTGATCAGACCCTGATCCACCACGAGGCCTGGCCTTAGACCGAGCCGCGGGGGCGTTGACCCCCGAAATCCTCTACAGGTAATCTACAGGAGCAATGTAGTAAAAAAAGCGAAATGCCAAGTTAAAGTTCCTCTACAAACAGACAAGTGTCTACTCACTGAGGCTCGCAAGAACCTATGTCTAACTGGATTGCTAGTGCAGTCAGCTCACACTGAGGTCCGTGGTTCGATCCCCGGTACGGTGGAAACATTAGGACGTGTTTCCTTAAGACACCTGCTGTTCCTGTTCACCCATCAGTAAAATAGGTACCTGGGTGTTAGTGAATTGGTGTGGGTAAGATAAGATAAGATTTCGTTCGGATTTTTAACCCCGGAGGGTTAGCCACCCAGGACAACCCAAGAAAGTCAGTGCGTCATCGAGGACTGTCTAACTTATTTCCATTGGGGTCCTTAATCTTGTCCCCCAGGATGCGACCCACACCAGTCGACTAACACCCAGGTACCTATTTGCTGCTAGGTGAACAGGACAACAGGTGTAAGGAAACGTGTCGAATGTTTCCACCCGCCGGGAATCGAACCCGGGCCCTCCGTGTGTGAAGCGGGAGCTTTAGCCACCAGGCCACCGGGTCACATCCTGGGAGAAAATTGACGTAATTTGCCCGAAATGCTCTGCCTAACAAGGGACTTTCTATATAGTAGTATGTCAGTGATTCACGAAATCGTAATGACACGATTGCAAACAAACCATACCAGTGGCTAACGCGACGGTCTGGAGTTTTGAGACTCTATGACCGCGGGTTCAAATCCCGCCCGTGGTATGGTTTATGTTAATGATGTAAGCTAGGCCTTTATATCTTGTACATGTACTTGCAGAAATAAAGATTCTTCTTCTTCTTCTTCTTCTTCTTCTTCTTATTATTATTATTATTATTATTATTATTATTATTATTATTATTATTATTATTATTATTATTATTATTATAATATTATTATACATTATTTATCATGTAGATTCTTCTTGTTCTTCATGGTACTCTGCTTTAACAAAAAAGTGAAAAACAGACTACAAATCACCCCAATGGAAATATATCAATTAGTCTGACTTTTCTGGGGGATTATTCCAGGTAATTTACAGATACTTATGTATACCTGTACCTAAATAATCTTACATGCATCTCAGTCAACAACAACAGTCTTTGTGGAGCCTTAAAGCTGATGTAAGGCGACCCGACCAACTGACCACATCATAGATGGTGACCATCAGTGATGGGCAGAACACAGTAAGTTCGTCTGTGATGTTCAAAACATATGTAGAGCGAAAAGTTCTCAATCAATCAAAACCAGCCAGCGCTGAAGTCTTGACTACAGGTGTACGTCAGCAGCGTCAACAGTCAGGTGTCTGGAATGTTGTCAACATCAGGCTTAACACACTCTTACCCATCCATCCATGTAAATTAAAACTGAACCTGAGACCGAATTTTAATTAACAAAGAAACTAA